GAAAACTACACTTCACATTTGCAGCTTTGGAATAAAAAAAAATCATAAAAACCCAGTGGTCCATTAGGCTGTAGTTAATGTAAAGTAGTGAAACTGAAGTGGCACAGCAGATGGCCGTGGTTGYAGGAGGAAAATAAAAATCGTTTTAGTGCAATAACCCTGTTAAATTCACAGAGCTTTCAGTATACTACTCTGTAAAACCAAGCGTCAATTCATTTAATATGTCCTGAGAAAACATTTGCTTCTACAAATAAACAGTTACTTGTGAATCAAGTTGAGTGTGTGTCACTGCAGCGGATTAGACATGGGATTAATCTAAACTTGTCTTTTTAAAATGCAGCAAACTTAAATAAAATGTGTTCTAGCTTGTGCATATTTATAGTTTTTGGCTGAATAAAATATGATGATGTCCTATATATCTATTTTTCAGCTTACTTCTTTTTTTCACATCACATTGTTCGCAGAGTTCTAAATGTGGCAAAGGTTCAATCTGCCACAAGAGATCTCCTTACTGGTTGATGGGATTAGAGAGCAGGCGCTGGTACAATTAGGTCAGATTTCTTTTCTTTCTCTGACTTTAGATTATTTATAGGGGTGTAAGAAAATATCGATACACTGAAATATCGCGATATTTCATTTCCCGATACTGTATCGATTTTCTAAAGCCCTGTATCGATTTTTAATTAAGGTTTAAAATGTCAACCTTCTTGCCAACCGTTCATTTTTATGTTGTAGTTCAGCCTCTGACCACTAGTTGGCAGCAGTGAGCCAGCCATTTGGCTCCTCTACCTCTTGAACGCCAGAGAGTAAGGGTAGCATTAGCATTGTAAGTAAACATTAGCTTTTCTTTTATTTTTTTTTTTCCAGTAAGAGGTTTTTATTTAATAGAATTTTTGGACAAAAAAATCGCAATATATCGCAATATATTGCCTTGCTTACAGTATCGCAATATATCGGGATACATCGTATCGTGACCCCTCTGTTATGATATGTATCGTATCGCCAAATTCTTGCCAATACACAGCCCTAATTATTTATTATCTACCGATACAATAAAATTTTAGAAATACTGTCCATTAGTTTACCACATTTATTGTTTAATAGTAGTCAAACACTATAGATGCCATATGTTTTTAATTAAAACTTAGCTTTCCGTTTAAAAAAAATACTACAATAATCATTGTTGTAATATATATACAACATGTTCTAGTAGAGTCCGGGGCAGAATTATAACCCTGGGGACAAGGAATCCAAGCAAAACAACACTCTATAAACACACTGGGAAGCCTCAGAATAAGCATCTAATGAAATCCTTTGGGTTTGAGTTTGTTAGCTGTGTGTGTTAAAACCAATTCAACTGAGACCAGTCGTCTCCACTTTTCTATTCAAGCTCTATATCTGTGATGGTCTGAGAAAACAGAGCGCCTAAGTCAAACAAAACCCTCCATGACACCATTGAGGATGCAGTTAGAAATCTCCTAAAGTCATTATTTCTTATAAAACTCCAGGAACCCTTACCTTATTTTCCTGGCCCCACTGCCAGATCCCCGGGGCTTGCATACCAAGGAAGGCAAATGGGTCCCGACCGATTATAATCAGCCCGATCACCAGCAGTTTGAACATAGACAGGAAGGAGGCAATGTGTCTGAGGAAACAAATCACAAACTCAWCAGAAAACTACATTTCTAGATATGTAATCACAGAGCTGACAATATAAGCAAGATAATGGAAATCAGTGCCCTACAAACTGATGCTCCCTATCAGAGGACTAAGAACACAGTATCTGAGCTGTCCCAAGGACTGTAAACATCTCAACAAATTTCAGATGTGGCTGCTGGAATCTGCTGAAGCTACTTTCCCAGCGTGAGGGTCACAGCCCTGAGTGATATAACCAGCTTCGATATCAATACTGACAAGCCCAGTGATGGTGAAATGTAAAGGCCTTTCTGCATTTTCATTAGGCCGATAGTATTTCTGAAGGTTTTTTTTTTTTTTCAAACTGTTCCTATTATTGCTGCCATTTGGAATAGCTCCAACCATAACAATCGCCTTATTTTGTAGTTTCTTGAGCTAACATGTCACGTTGTTTATCCACCATCTTTTTGTAAACCTGGATCTCAAACTCCCTGAAGGGGTTTCCTGTTTTGACTCCAGACTTCTAAAGCATTCTTGGTGTTTCTGTACACCATTTGGTTATGGCGCTTCATGTATACAATTCYTTTATTCTAATATGTAATAAACAATCTCAGTGGTACGGTTAGGCAAACTCACAATGGGTTTCTGCTAACTACGGTCCACAACTGGGGAAAATATTTCTGATACCCTCCAGGACTTGAGCTGTTTAAACCACTTACTAAACTGTAAAATTGGTTGAACAAAAATAAAACTTATCAGTGGACTGAATCCTAAAAGCTTGTTAGAGAATTTGAATCATGGGACACAATACCAGCACTTTTCTTCAACAAGGCTAATCTTGTGTACTCATGCGTTGATGATCACACGACAGTCTCAGTGACACCACATTTACCTGCAGACCACATAATCCAGTCTTGCAACAATACTCTCTGTAGTGTAAATATAGTCTAATTCTTCACTCTCTCTCGCTGACTTATTATTTTTTATACAAAACTGTTAATAGGCAGTAGTAGGAATCAAGATTGGGGAGTGATAATTGCAAAAGGACAAATATTTTCAAGAACACTGTAGATTTCACTGGGAAAGATATTAAATATGTCAAGACTTKGACGCTTAGAAAAAGAAAATCAAAATCTCTAGTTACTTTTCTGAGTTGAGACAAAATTTGATCAAACTTTAGGTAGAAGATGAAAATAAAATCTATTTTTTTGTTGATCTGTGTCTGTGAGAAAAAATAGGTTGGTCAAATATCGCAAAGCACAGCAGGCAAATTACAGTCTGTCATTGTATGACGTGCCTTCAAGCACGAATGTGGGAGAAACTCAGCTTGTATCTACTACTCTGCAGAGATCTTAAGCAGAGGTACATTTTGTACTTGTTATAAGACAGATTATTAGACTTTCTTACCGATAAATGGGGACAGGAAGATAATTCTCCCCTTCAATGCGGATGTCTGGGTACCGCTGGTACAAGGCCTGCGTGTACTCTTCAAACACCCGCTTGTACCCTCAGGAAATGCTGTGTGAAGGAAAAACATTAATAATGTGAAGTTTTTAAAAAAAGTAGTCACAACACAAAGGTCAGTTGTTCAAAACAAATATATATTACCTAAAATCAGTACTTGAGCAGGTTGTCTATACTGTATTACCTATTTACACTGTACATTTTCAACATACTATATTTTGTTATGTGTTTACAAAACAGATTTACGGGAATAAGTCTTATATCAGAATCTAAAAATTTCCTAATCTAAAACAAAATAAAAATGAGTCTGAATTTTTATACTCTTAGTAGTCCTAAGTAACCTTTTCATTATTTCATCATTATTAATGATCACACAATCCAATTTTACTAAATTAAAGCTGGAAATTCGTTTCAAAATCTGCAAAAACTAATTTACTTCTAAACTTTTTGTCACCTCCTTTCCTCGTCTCATAAAACCTTTCTTGTTCAAATATTTAATGTTTCTGTCTGTGTCAAACAGAACTGAATTTGCAATGCAAATGTGTTCCTGTTTTTTTTTTTTATCATGATGCCATAGAGTATAACCAGGTAATGTTTAACGTAAACTGACTTGTTAATATTTTTTATAGTTATGTAGAGACCTATTGAACAACCTCAAATTTAATCTCAGATCAAAACAAGCAACAAAAAAAAAAAAAAAAAAAAAAAAAAAAAAAAAAAAAAAAAAAAAAAAAAAAAAAACGTTTAGTTGCACAAAGTCGATGTGAAACACTGGATCTTCAGTGAATATTGTATAAAATTCTGTAATCCACAGAAACTGAGCGGTTTTTGACAACTGCGGAAGTGGGGCCATGAAGATCCCGAAGACACGATAGTAAGAAATATATAACAATTGATTTTTGTGTGTGTGTATTCAGACAGTTATATATTCATGTTCACAATAAAGACTACTTCCGTGTTACCTATAAGCTGTCATACTGACAGTAGTATATGAATTTTCGGCCTAACTAGTACTACGACGTTGTTAGCTTTTAAGTTTAGCTAGCTTGCTATGACTCGCCAGATTTTATTTTTAACGCTATTYGCTTACCAGATTTGAAACTTAAGAAGAGGTCCCGTAGCAAATTGCATTTTCATCTTTTTCACGCCACTGCTGTCACCAGTCGTGGCGCAACACAGTGAGAAAAGCCCCAAAGCAAGGAGCGAAATTCGCAATCTGTTCATGGCCCTGCACTTCTTGGTTGACTCGAACTGGTTTCCTGTCTTCACACGGGAGATGGGTGAAGTTAGTTAGCCCCGCCTTCCAGTGTTCTTCTGCAGTTTATTAGCGCTTGGCATACAATCTGAAGTGTATTTACTGCCACCTACTGGACAGAAATGAGCTGCACGAAAACAACCAATGGGTGGGAAAAAAAATGCAGGAAAATCATTTTCTGCACATTATTTTAATTCACATATTCGTTCAAGTGACCTGACATCTATATGGTGACCAAAGTAATGTGTACAAAAAAAAAATTCCAACAACTCTAATTATATGAGGCGTGTAAATGTAGGCTACTTACCTTACAGCCTTAAAACTCTTCAGTTTTGAAATGAGAGCTGCCCCATAAATCTGCTCATCAGCCCTAATTCTTAGCATTTTGGCAGGAAATAATGGCATAGTTCTAACATTACAGCAGTGTAGTGCAGTGCTTGTAGCTAGTAGAGTTGTACCGTTTAACATTTATTTACCGTATTCTCCTACATACATTAATTTATTCAGAAAAGGGATAAAGTGTACATGAAAAGATTTACTTTTAAACTTTTTTAATCTTAGTCTTTATTATCTTGAGAAAAGAAAAAAAAAAAACAGAAAAAATAGAAACCTAATGACAAATTTCCCTAAAATAAATAAAACTATGACCTGATTATCAAATTTTATTGACACATGCAGTAAAACCAATATTTATTGAATTCAAGAAATCCAGAAAACAGTCACACAAGTGTAAACTTTAGTGTTCTTCAGTTCTCGTATACAAAGTTGTTATTAAAGAGTGAACTTTATTTAAACATGTTAAAACAAAAATATAAAATCCTTTTTACAAAACAGTCAAAAAAAGTGTTTCTGGGTGTTGGGTTTTCAGCCTCAGTGGTTGAGCCTTGTCTTGCGCTCTTGATCCATTTTGGACTGGAGCTCCGAGAGTGTGCCTGGATGTCAAAGAGCACAAAATGTTAGAACCCACAAATATAAAAGCTAATTTCTTTTTAGGCTATTTAAAAATCTAGATACTATTTAGGCAAAATTACAAAGTAAAAAGTTATGATGAATATCATATTTTTCCAAAACAGATGTGATCATCTAGTGTGGAAGTCATAAAAAAATAAAGACAAATATTTAACAATCTTATAAAAAAAAGTCAGTATTCAACTAAAATTAAAGTTATGGATGGTACTAACCCATCAACGTCCGAGCATACGCCATCAAGCTGGGAAATCCTTCCTCAATGTTAAATGTGACGTGCTCCATCTCATTTGCAAGTTCATTTCCCCTCTGAGGAGAAAAAAGAAAAAAGGATTTAAGTAAGAAAAAAAAGTCACTTTATTTTAAAGAAGCATAAAAATACAAATACCTTAAGTTCTGTGTAAACCTTTTCCTCCAACTCTGTCACCTGAGATATGACATCAAGCACACTGGTGCTCTCTACACTTTCCTGCACCACACATACCGGTAAGTCATAAAATTAAATTTTAAATAAAATACACAAATGTTATGATCTTTTGAATGMATTTTACACAAACTTACCTCTTCTGAGGAACTGTTTGATTCATCTTTGTCCTTGACTGCCCCAGTGGCTTTGGAGTTGCCATTCAACTCTTTCACTCTGCCAAAGAACGAAATATTTCAAATCTGAATGACTGAAATACAGTGGGATGTGAAGGTTTGGGCAGCCTTGTTAATTTTCCTGATTTATCTTTAGAAATCATTGATTGTTTGGATAAAATAAATAAATAAAAAATCAGTCAAATATTTCATATAGGGGACAAACACAGTGATAGTTGAGAAGTGAAATGAAGTTTATATGATTTACAGAAAATGTGCAATAATTGGTTAAACAAAATTAGGCAGGTGCATAAATTTGGGCCCTGTTGTCATTTTATTGATTTCAAAACCTTTAGAACTAATTATTGGAACTCAAATTTGGTTCGGTAAGTTCAGTGACCCTTGACCTCCATAAACAGGTGACTCCCAGTTATGAGAAAGGGTATTTAAAGGGGGCAATAGTAAGTTTTTCTCCTCTTTGCATCTTCTCTGAAGAGTAGCAGCATGGGAGTCTCAAAACATCTTTCAAATGAGCTGAAAACAAAGATTGTTCATCGTCATGGTTTAGGGGAAGGATACAGAAAGCTATCTCAGAGATTTCAGCTTTCAGTCTCCACTGTGAGAAACATTGTGAGAAAATGGAGGACCACAGACACAGTTCAAGTCAAGGCTGGAAGGGGCAGACCAAGACAAATCTGGAATAAACAGAAGTGAAGGATGTTGAGAAGAGTCAGAGTCAACCCACAGACCAGCACCAAAGACCTACTACATCATCTTGCTGCTGATGGAGTCACTGTGCATCGTTCAACTATTCAGCACACAAGGATGCTGTATGGGAGAGTAATGCAGAGGAAGCCTTTTCTCCACCCACATCACAAATAGAGCTGCTTGAGGTATGCTAAAGCACATTTGGACAAACCAGCTCCATTTTGGAATAAGGTGCTGTGGACTGATGAAACTAAAATAGAGTTATTTGAACATAACAAGGGCCGTTATGCATGGAGGAAAAAGAACACAGCACTCCAAGAAAAACACCTGCTGCCTACAGTAAAATGTGGGGGTGGTTCCATCATGCTGTGGGGCTGTGTAGCCAGTACAGGGACTGGCCACACAGTCTTGTTGGGAATCTTGTTAGAGTTGAGGGACGCATGGATTCCAATCAATATCAGCAGATTCTGGAGACCAGTGTCCAGGAATCAGTGACAAAGCTGAAGCTGCTGAAGCCGGGGCTGGATCTTCCAACAAGACAACGACCCTAAACACTGCTCAAAATCTACTGAGGCATTCATGCAGAGGAACAAGTAGAACATTCTGGAATGGCCATCTAAGTCCCCAGATCTGAATATTATTGAAAATCTGTGGTGTCACTTAAAGAGAGCTGTCCATTCTCAGAAACCATCAAACCTGAATGAACTAGAGATGTTTTGTAAAGAAGAATGGTCTAAAATACCTTCAGCCACAATCCAGACTCTCATTGGAAGCTGTAGGAAGCGTTTAGAGGCTGTTATTGCTGCAAAAAGAGGATCTATTAAATGTTAAGTTTTTTTTGTGCCCAAATTTATGCACCTGCCTAATTTTGTTTAACCAATTATTGCACACTTTCTGTAYATCATATCAACTTCATTTCACTTCTCAAATATCACTGTGTTTGTCCCCTATATGATATATTTTACTTTATTTTATATTTTATTTTAGGTCACGGGGGCAGCAGCCTAAGCAGAGACCCAGACTTCTCTCTCCTCAGCCACTTGGGCCAGCTCCTCTGGGGGAATCCCAATGTGTTCCCAAGCCAACTGAAAAACATAGTCCTGGGTCTTCCTCTTGGTCTCCTCCCAGTGGGACGTGCCCGGAACACCTCACCAGGGAGGCGTCCAGGAGGCATCCTAACCAGATGCCCGAGCCACCTCAACTCAACATGTAAAGGTCACACCATCCCCACCAAAAACAGTGTTGGTGGTAAACCGCTGTCCCGCACAGAGATGCTGGATGGTGGACCAGAATTGCCTAGAAGCAGTACGCATTTTTAATTTCCATGAAGCTGAAACTTTGTACTTTGAATACGCACCTGTCTGCGTAACGTAGGGTATTCATGGTATATTCACAAGAAGCCATGCCTGGAGACACCATGGCAATCTGAATAAAAAAGTAAAATGTACATTTATTAATTTTTTTAATTAAAACATGTGTTTTTAATTCATTTGAGAAGCATCAGACATTTGACATAACTGAACCAAATCAAACGTTACCACAACTGATACAAAAAGCCACAAAAATAAAATATAAAGCTATTTTAGCCAAGGCTATGATGTGATTAGAGCTGCTGCTTTTCAGTCAAACAGTCACATGATTGTTCCCTGGCCTGGTGCCTTCCTGTGTGAAGTTTGCCTGTTCTCTATGTGCACATGTGAGTTTTCTCTGGGTACCGTTTTCCTCCCACAGACAAAAAATAAATAAAAAAAATAACAGAAAAAACATGCATGTGATGTTATTTGGTAACCTCTATTGTTCCTCAGAGTTTGTGAGAGCATGAATGTTTTTTTTGTCTTCATAAGTCCTTATGATGGTCTTGTGAGTAGGCTAATCATGATAAGAAATTTTGCTGGAAAATTAATTATTACAATAAAAACGCCAATATTGTTTAGAGCAGAGGTTCTCAAATAGGGGTCTCAGGAGTCCTCAAAAGATTTCAATAAATTGTTAATTTTTTTTTTTTTAATGCATTTAGGGAAAATTAATTATTACAATAAAAACGCCAATATTGTTTAGAGCAGAGGTTCTCAAATAGGGGTCTCAGGAGTCCTCAAAAGATTTCAATAAATTGTTAATTTTTTTTTTTTAATGCATTTAGGGAATAATGCACTTGTAAAAAAATAAATAAAAAAATAAATAAAAAATAAAAAAAAGCAWCATACTAAACCAAACAAAAAATATTACCATGTCATTTAGGGGTTAAAATAACAGTAAATTATTTAGCATTAACAGCATGGAGTTTATGAGGGGGTCCCTGGAATTTTTTCACCCTTGTAAGGGGTCCCCAGACCCAAAAGGTTTGAGAACCACTGGTTTAGAGACCATTTTAAACAAATATAATAAAAAGGCATCAGAAAGAAAATAAAAAAACACCCTCTCTAGCTAAATCCTTCTTCACAGCGCTCTACTTGTGACCTGTCCAGGGTGTACCCCGCCTCTCGCACAGCGACGGCTGGAGATTGGAACCAGCTTCTCCGTGACCCAAAAAGGAAAAGCGGATCAAGAAAATGGTTTAAGTTTTAGTCAAGCAACATACCATGCAGGTCTTGGACTTTTCTCCAATGAAAGAATCCCTGAGCACTTTGGTTAAAGTGCTCATTCGAAAAGGAATGTGATCGCTGTTCTTTCCCAGAGAACGGATACACTCCTATAGAATACAGAGCAGACACAGACATGACTGACATTAACCTTCTTTCATATGGAAGAGTTCTGAAAAAAAAAAAAAAAAAAAAAAAAACACGCTATAAAATAGCTCAACAGTTTCAGGGATTTTTTTGTACTTCAAAACCCACCAAGACAAGATGCGAGAGAAGGAGAAAACAAATTCTGTTTGCAGCCATCACTAGTTGACGTGCACATCTCTGAATCGTGGAGAAGCTTTACCTTGAGGGCCAGCAGGCTCCGGTTGATCTCTGCAGTCTCGACCAAAGTGCCGCGGTCGTTGCTGCTGACGTCCGTGCCGCGCTCGTTGCCGGCCAGGTCGACCAACGAAAACTTGCCGTGCAGCGTGGCCGCGCGGTCGTTGCGCCGGAGCACAATCTGAAGGATGGCGTGAGAGCGCGAGGAGTTGGCGTTGGCAGAGGTCTGACCAGACGTTCTGAAACAAACAGTCAAATGGAAGAAAAAAACAACAACACATTTAAAGTTAAGCATATTAAAAATAAAGAAGACCATTACGGCAGCACAGATTTTTATAAGTAGTATTTGTTTTACAAAACTACAAAAAGCCTGGATAACTGTTGATTAAGACTTCTTTAAAAGATTACAAGGACGACTGGCTTTTCAGAAGCATAAATGTGAGAAAATTTGAGGTAATTTAAACCCTTTGTAGATTAATGCACGTCACAGGGAAACTCAAACCTACCTGCATGCACTGCCAGTCTGTATTATCTTGATGACGTCTTCTGCTGTGGACACACAGACCTCCTCGAGTCCCACCACCTGAACCTGTTGTCGGTCGTCCTCCAAAACCCGCAGCTTGGCCTTCTTGTTGAGCAGGTCATACACCTGAGTCCACAAGCAGGTTTTCAAACATGAACCATTTGAACAAGCCATTTTCTGTAAAAAATGGACTATGGGTGAATTTTTTTATTATTAAATTTTTTATTTTATTTTTTTACCTTGCCATTATAAATCTCAAAGAAGCTGACATAGACGGACAAATCCAGACAAGAGTATTTCCTGTGCTTGAGATAGGTGAAAACATCTTGGGCTAACAGAGCAGACAGACAAGATTAGTTCACACAAAGGTCAGTTTTCATTCTACATACTCTGTAGTTTAAAAGTCAAACTAATAACTATTTTGAAAAGACAGTAAACAAATGCAATTGAATCTTAACGTACCTGCCAAGGCATAAATTCCTTTGGCGCTGTTCTGCTGCTTCCCTGTGAAATCACCTCCCATGGTCTATAAAATAATAATTAAAGATGCTAAATTCAATAAGGACCATTTGTTTTGTTCCACGACATTCAGGCTTGTAGAGTCAGCAGGTACTTACATGGGTTTTACCACTTCCTGTCTGGCCATAAGCAAAGCAAGTTGCCATAGCACCTTCAAATATGGACTGCACCAAGGGCTGAGCAGTGAACCTAAGGAAAAGAATTAAACACCGACATCAATCATAGCCCATGAGGACTCCTGCCTGCCTTTATGTTAGTCTGTCAGACCAAACAAGAAGGATGACGCTAAAAAAAAATGAAATCTCATCGCTTTACTAAAAATTAAAGAAGAAATCAGAGTAATTACTTGTAAACCAGCTCGTTGGTRACATTTTCATCAAAGGAATGGTCAAAGTGGAAAACCTGGTTGTCCAAGTACTTGGTAAGATCCACCTTTTGTTTTGGCTCATGGACCAATAATGTCCCTTTTCCAGGTACGGACACCACATCTATCTCCTTCTTAGTAACCTCTAAAATAGATAAAAAAATGAACAAAATGGCATTTATTTTCCTTAATATAATTTAATTGAATATATTAATTTGATGCTTTACAGATGTTACTTATAAAAAGGATGTGTAGTCTACCTTGCCTGTTTAGAGGCCGCTTCCGAACGCACACACAGATCTTTTGAGTGTTGATCTGGGCGAGTTGAAGAGAAGCAAAAGAAAAAAAAAAAGTTTACTCTGCGTGCAGATTTTGGTCAAACAGCTTCATACATGAAATATGGTCCCTGTGTACAAACTCACCAGGTCAGTTGCTGATATTGGAGTAATTTCCAACGTCTCTCTGTAATCTTGGATCATCTCGTAGAACTTTTGGTACGGTCTAGGTGCTTCTGCAAACTAATAAACAGAAGATAAAAAAATTATTGCTCAAGAAGTAATTTTGATGAAATCTCACCGATTCAGAAGAACGCAGCAATGTGGTTAAAAAGAAAAAAGAATGGTACATATTCACACACAACCTTTCCCTTCTTGGTCGTTATGTCGATGGCCTTCACATTTGAGAGCCTTTTGTTGCTTTTGTTCATTTCCTGGGGAGCCACTGATTTTCTTCTGCCTGAAACACACAGTTTAAGTACCGTGCCATGTTTTCAAAATTTACAAATCAAAACGCCAACATGTTGAGTGTTAAATGTCTACTTATTTCCACTAAACATAAAAAAGCCTAAAAATATTATTTTCTTTTTAATTATACACATCAGTGTAGGGATAATTACCAACCTTTGGCTGAAGGCGGAGGAGGCATGAGCTCAGTTTCAATTTCCTTCTTAGTTTCACGAACAAAAGGCACAGATGGTCCTGGTCTGGCACTATTTTCTTTAAGCCGACGATTAGAAAGTGCTACATAAAGAAAAGTAGAGGTTAAACTTAAAAATATATATTTGCTTTGAATATGAAAAATGGCATGTACAAACGTAGAAAGATCAGTTTTTGCTCAGGGAATTAATTTGAAATAAGTCTTAAATGTTATTTTTGCCAACCAGAGCTTGTGGGGAGTGATGGGGGTTCAAAATCAGGTCGAACCGTCTCGGGATTTCCTGAAGATGACATCGTGCTTGAACCAGCTGCTGGAACGGGCGCAGAAGCTTGGAACAAGCAAGTCTGTCGAGACCGGGTGGAATCTAAAAGAAATCAAAATTTTGTTTATTTTATTTTTTTAAATGCAGAGACACAGTTCAAGACTGCAACTCTCTAAATAGAAAAATGAGCAAAATTCTCATCCTTCTCTATTTAAGGAGCAACAGATCACATTAGAAATCCTGAGTGACAGACTGTTAACACTTTGATCTGTGCAGCCAGAAACAGAAACTCCAGTCACTACAATTTATATTCTCTTTACGTAGTGCCAGTAAAACTGTGCTGCCCAGAGAAGGTCCTGTGATTGTCTGTGATTTCAGATCAACCGACACATTACAAAAATATGCATGCAGAGGATTTCCCAACACCCAAATGTGCTGATTTGCACCTCCGTGTCTCATTAAAACAAATCCGTCAAATTCAGACTAAGCATATTTAAGTCCCTGGAAAAACACGACTGTTGGCCTCCTTCAACGAAAGGAACATATTAGCTTGCCAACCTGACTCTTCAACATTTGGACTTGCTGGAACAGCAGCTTTGGAACAAAACAAGTGTTAGATAAAAGAATTTAAAACATGTTATGCGGAAAAACATCACTTTTYCCCCCCCACACACTTACAAGCAGACCGAGCTGGGATCCTGGATGAGCGTAATCGACTTTCATATTTCTGCAGAAGAGATAAAAAGACAGACTATATCTATATATATAATCCATTGTGATTGTGTGTGGTTGTAACATGTAACAATCAAGTTTGAGAAAATGTTCTCAGTTTTCTTCATGCTTAAAATAATTCTAAAATCAAGAATAACATAATTAAAACACTTCCAATCCTCTTTTGGTTAAGAAAAGTAAAAAGGAAATTTGAACCATTTGATTAACAGTTATATTACCTTTGTTTTTAAGAGTTAAATAGAGTAACACTTACCTTGTCTAGAACATCCGCTGGTGTCTCAGCCATCTCAGATACTTTATTGGTGAGAGCATTTAGACGGTCCCAGAGGTCTTGATTTAGAGCGAATAGATCACACACTTCCACCTACACACAAAAACATAACTTACTTTCTGTTGTACCCTTCTTGGAAATAGGCACATTAAGGTTAACAGGATTTTTACACTTTAATCAGCTTTTCATCCCAGTTGTACAAAAACAAAACAAATGCTGGTAAAAATAATAATAATAATAATCATTTGAGAGTTAATGGCCTGGCATTCCCTGAAGGAATGCACATCACCAAAATTTAAAACAAAGTTCATCTTGTAATAAGACTTACAGTTAAAGCTGGTAAACCTTGTAATTTAAAATATGCAGAATCACACAATATTTGAGACCTTAGAAGTGCAACAACTTAAAGCATGTATTGAGGATGACTAAGGTTGACATCTTTGCATATTTCACTTTAATAAGTGTGCATGCATAGTTTGCCATTGCTGTTTACTCATATATATAT